ATGTATTTTCTACAAACTTTGCTTATTTGTGTCAACAATTAGACATTCAATCTTATTAGACATTGCCACAATTAGACATTGCCACTCAATCTTATTTTTATTATTATTATTGTTAATATTACTATTATTCATAATAGAATACATTGGACAGGAAACTGTGAAGGAACATTTTATGTTTGTGCTTTTCTAATAACCAATTCGACTGGGTTCATGCAAGTGAATGATTGAGCTTGCCTGGGAGGAATCCTCACTATCAGTATAATGCAATTTGGCAGTACGCCAAGAAAATTGTTTTGAGATCCAAAAGGGGTGTCTCAGTTTGAAGGTTTCAGCTTGGAGACAATAAGCCCTGTGAGGTATTGGTCGGTCACATGCATGAACCAAAAGTTAATGATGAATTAATCATGAATAATTAATAATGTAAATCATGCAAATATATCTTGTCTGTGTAAGCAGTACATAAGAGAACTAACGGGACTGCCCCGACGGAACTCCTGACAGACGTGTACTACTTGATGCATTAAGTTTGTAGGAACCTCTCCAGGTTGCTGATAATAAAGAAGGATTCATTGAATATTTACTTAGAGTGTCCCTGTGTTGAATTTCCACAACAAGCCTTAAAACCCTAGAAGGTTATTTGAGAAAGGTTCCTCAGGGAAAATGTTCCACCAGTGTTGCAATCTGAGGAACCCCTAAAGGTGCCTCCAGGAACCTTTTCATTTTAGAGACCTCAAACTCAACTCTGGAACTCGAAGCCAGTTCTATTGCATTGTTTTAATTGTTCCCCTCATATCAGGGACTGATTTAGACCTGGGACACCAGATGTGTGCAATTAATTATCAGGTATAACAGAAAACCAGCAGGATCCGGAACTCGTAGGGCAAGAGTTGAGTACCGCTGTTTAGAGTATACGGTTTGCTCAATTAAGTTTGCTCAATACATTTTGATAACTAAAAGACTAATTGTGGGCCTTTCCAACTGTAGGCAATGAGATTTATATGTATAGACAGGAGTAGGCTAATTAGGCTATATAATTCTGGCAATTTTAATAAAATGTACTTTAGGGGAAGCTTAGTCTATGGGGGACAGTGCTCCACTATGTATTAAATCCCTCGAAAACAACTTAATGTTATTGTGTTAGATTTGGTACCAAGCATATTTTTTAAAGCTGTGGACAGACTTGAAATACAAGACAAAAATAAAAAGCTATGCAACAGAGGACAGATGCAACAGACTAGGTGTGAAAGGTGCAGCAGCAGTCGAGTCATAAAGTCTATTATTGCCACCAGCTAACTGACAGGAAAACCACAAACCTCACCTAACCTATTGAAAGTCACTGTCAACATCCTTTGCCCAACTGTTCTGCTGCACATAAAACTAGGATTCTGCAAAAGAGAGCATGAGCAGTCATTCACCTGCTGTCCATCATATCTATCATCATCAGTATTCATCTTATTCATATTGATGTAAGGGTGCTTGCTTAGATGGAGGCAAGGTTTTGAAAACAAATTACTCAGAATAACACACAACATTTTATTTGTGGCGCAATCTCTCAATGAATTTGCATTTGTTGATGACACTTGTCCACAGAAACTTCATTACCCATGACTCCCACAAATGTCGATTGCGTCCTTACGTAGAACGTCACATGATAGGGAATTCAACATGGAGGACATTGGAGTAACTGTTGAAAGAATTCAGGTACGATTCATTTTGACCCGGTACATTTTAACGCCGTTTGACCGTTGTTTTTGATTATACGAAACTTAAAAAAGTATAGACAATTTCAAACGTACTATCTTTAATCTAAAGTGTTATTTGAATACATTTAATTCGTCCGTCATCCAAGTAAACGTGCCAATTCATTCACGGCACTGTAAATGCTCTGTCATGCAAGCTAACATTAGCTAGCAAGCTAGGCAACTTTAGCTAGTTAGCTAAACGTTTGCATATTGGTGTGGCTACGTAGCTATTTATGTTGTGTGTGTAGTATTGGTAAGCTTGAAGCTACAACGTCAACAAAATAACACAAAGTCAACGGCCGGCAGCTAAGGTTAGCTAGCTAGTTAACAAGTCAGATAACAACCGAATGTAACGCTAGTTAGCGAGCTAGCGAAGTAGTTAACTAGCTAGTGAGATAAATTCGATTGGATATGACTGAGCCTAATGTTAACATTAGCTTTTTCTAAATGGCTTATTATTGAAATTCTTAGCCAAGACAGAATTCGGCTACGTACCGCAGTCATTTCGTATCCTACGGAACAGCACTGAAACATTGTCGTGGATTTAAATATCTGTCCAATCCACGTCTCAACATTTTCTATCGGTCATCACTCACCCAACATTAGGCAAGTAACAAACTAGCTAACAACACAACAAACAACACGTTTTATTTAACCTTTATTTAACTAGGCAAGTAAGTTAATAACAAATTATTGTTTACAATGACGGCTTACCCAAAGGCCTCCTGCGGGGACGGGGGAATAAAAATATAGGACAAAACACACATCACGACAAGAGAGACATCACAACACTACATAAAGAGAGACCTAACAACATAGCATGGTAGCAACAACACATGACAACAACATGGTAGCAGCACAAAACATGGTACAAACATTATTGGGCACAGACAACAGCACCAAGGCAAGAAGGTAGAGACAATAATACATCACGCGAAGCAGCCAGAACTGTCAGTAAGAGTGTCCATGATTGAGTCGTTGAATGAAGAGATGGTGATAAAACTGTCCAGTTTGAGTGTTTTTGCAGCTCTTTCCAGTTGCTAGCTGCAGCGAACTGAAAAGAGGAGCGACCCAGGGTTGTGTGTGCTTTGAGGGCCTTTAACAGAATGTGACTGGCAGAACGGGTGTTGTATGTGGAGGATGAGGACTGCAGTAGGTATCTCGGATAGGGGGGAGTGAGGCCTAAGAGGATTTTATATATAAGCATCAACCAGTGGGTCTTGCGACGGGTATGCAGAGATGACCAGTTTACAGAGGAGTCTAGAGTGAACTGATGTGTCCTATAAGGAGCATTGGTGGCAGATCTGATGGCCGAATGGTAAAGAGCACCCTTACCTGTCAATCTATAAATTACTTCTCCGTAATCTAGCATGGGTAGGATGATCATCTGAATCAGGTTTAGTTTGGCAGCTGTGGTGAAAGAGGAGCGATTACGATAGAGGAAACTGAGTCTAGATTGAACCTTAGCCTGCAGCTTTGATATGTGCTGAGAGAAGGACAGTGTACCGTCTAGCCATACTCCCAAGTACTTGTATGACTACCTCAAGCTCTAAACCCTCAGAGGTAGTAATTACATCGGTGGGGAGAGGGGCATTCTTCTTACCAAACCACACCAAACCACTGTGCCCAAGAACACTAAGATAACCTGCCTAAATGACTACCTACCCGTAGCACTCACGTCTGTAGCCATGAAGTGCTTTGAAAGGCCGGTCATGGCTCACATCAACACCATTATCCCAGAAACCCTAGACCCACTCAATTTGCATACCACCCCAACAGATCCACAGATGATGCAATCTCTATTGTACTCCACACTCCCCTTTCCCACCTGGACAAAAGGAACACTTACGTGAGAATGCTATTCATTGACTACAGCTCAGTGTTAAACACCATAGTGCCCTCAAAGCTCATCACTAAGCTAAGGACCCTGGGACTAAACACCTCCCTCTGCAACTGGATCCTGGACTTCCTGACGGGCCGCCCCCAGGTGGTAAGGGTAGGTAACAACACATCTGCCATGCTGATCCTCAACACAGGGGCCCCTCAGGGGTGCGTGCTCAGTCCCCTCCTGTACTCCCTGTTCACCCATGACTGCATGACCAGGCACAACTCCAACACCATCATTAAGTTTGCCGACGACACAACAGTGGTAGGCCTGATCACCGACAATGATGAGACAGCCTATAGGGAGGAGGTCAGAGACCTGGCCGTGTGGTGCCAGGATAACAACCTCCCTCAACGTGATCAAGACAAAGGAGATTATGGTGGACTACAGGGAAAAAAAGAGGACTGAGCATGCCCCCATTCTCATCGACGGGGCTGTAGTGGAACAGGTTGAGAGCTTCAAGTTCCTTTGTGTCCACATCACCAACAAACTATCATGGTCCAAACACACCAAGACAGTCGTGAAGAGGGCACGACAAAGCCTATTCCCCTCAGGAGACTGAAAAGATTTGGCATGGGTCCTCAGATCCTCAAAAAGTTCTACAAATACACCATCGAGAGCATCCTGACTGGTTGCATCACCGCCTGGTATGGCAACTGCACGGCCTCCGACCGCATCCAGGACCTCTATACCAGGCGGTGTCAGAGGAAGGCCCTCAAAATTGTCAAAGACTCCAGCCACCCTAGTCATAGACTGTTCTCTCTGCTACCGCACGGCAAGCGGTACCAGAGCGCCAAGTCTACGTCCAAAAGGTTTCTTAACAGCTTCTACCCCCAAGCAATAACAGCTAATCATGGCTACCCGGACAATTAGCATTGCCCCACCCCACCCCCTCTTTTACGCTGCTGCTACTCTGTTTATTATTTATGCATAGTCACTTTAACTCTACCCACATGTACATATTACCTCAGTTACTTCGACAAACCGTTGCCCCCGCACATTGACTCTGTACCGGTACCCCCTATATATAACCTCCCTACTGTTATTTTATTTTACTGCTGCTCTTTAATTATTTGCTCTTTTAATTTTTTTCTTAAACTGCATTGTTGGTTAAGGGCTTGTAAGTAAGCATTTCACTGTAATGTCTACACCCGTTGTATTCGGTTCATGTGGCAAATAAGATTTGATTTGACCTTTGTTTTGGAGATGTTCAGAACAAGGTTAAGGGCAGAGAAAGCTTGTTGGACACTAAGAAAGCTTTGTTGTAGAGCGTTTAACACAAAATCCGGGGACGTTAACACTAGCTACAGAGTTTTCACAGGTTTGGGGTTATGCTCACAACGTAGAATTTGTGTAAATGTTTGTGTTGTCTTATGTCTACACAGGACGAAGTGCCTGCCATGCTGAACTCACGACCCCAGACGGGGCTTTCTTTCCTGGCCCCAGAACCAGAAGATCTTGAAGACCTTTACAGCAGATACAAGGTCTGTATTGGGAACAGCTTCTGTGTGTCTGTGCTTGACTGTTGAGGTCTATTTCTGTCAGCACAACAAGAAAAGCAATTTTAAATCGTACAGGCCCTTTCTGTGATTTCTTCAATCACAGTAAAGATGTTAACTATTACAGTGCCCAGAGAAAGTATTCACACAGACTTTTTCCACATTTTGTTGTTACAGCCTGAATTTAAAATGGATGAAATTGAGATTTTTTGGTCACTGGCCTACACCCAATACCCCATAATGTCAAAGTGGAATTATGTGTTTCGTTTTTTTATTTTTAACAAATTAATTAAAAATGGAAAGCTGAAATGTCTTGAGTCAATAAGTATTCAACCCCTTTGTTATGGCAAGCCAACATAATTTCTGAAGTAAAGATTTGCTTAACAAGTCACATAATAAGTTGCATGGACTCGCTCTCTGTGCAATAATAGTGTTTAATATGATTTCTGAATGACTACCTCATTTTTGTACCCCACAGACCGGTTTCCGAGCTGGTCATGGGGTGCACTTCAGCCACGCTCAAGGTCCTAAACGATATTATAACCGCGATCGATAATAGACAGTACTGTGCAGCCGTTTTCAGTGACCTGGCCAAGGCTTTCGACTCTGTCAACCACCGCATTCTTATTGGCAGACTAAATAGCCTTGGTTTCTCAAATGACTGCCTCGCCTGGTTCACCAACTACTTCTCAGATAGAGTTCAATGTGTCAAATCGGAGGGCCTGTTGTCTGGACCTATGGCAGTCTCTATGGGGGTGCCACAGGGTTCAATTCTTGGGCCGACTCTTTTCTCTGTGTATATCAATGACGTCGCTCTTGCTGCTGGTGACTCTCAGATCCACCTCTACGCAGACGACACCATTTTGTATACATCTGGCCCTTCATTGGACACTGTGTTAACAAACCTCCAAACGAGCTTCAATGCCATACAACACTCCTTCAGTAGCCTCCAACTGCTCTTAAACACTAGTAAAACTAAATGCATGCTCTTCAACCGAACGCTGCTTGCACCCGCCCACCCGACTAGAATCACTACTCTCGACGCGTCTGACCTAGAGTATGTGGACAACTACAAATATCTAGGTGTCTGGTTAGACTGTAAACTCTCCTTCCAGACTCACATTAAGAATCTCCAATCCAAAGTTAAATCTAGAATTGGTTTCCTATTTCGCAACAAAGCCTCCTTCACTCATGCTGCCAAACATGCCCTCGTAAAACTGACTATCCTACCTACCGATCCTTGACTTCGGCGATGTCATTTACAAAATAGCCTCCAACACTCTACTCAGCAAATTGGATGTAGTCTATCACAGTGCCATCCGTTTTGTCTCCAAAGCCCCATATAATACCCACCACTGTGACCTGTACGCTCTTGTTGGCTGGTCCTCACTACATATTCGTCGCCAAACCCACTGGCTCCAGGTCATCTATAAATCACTGCTAGGCAAATCCCCGCCTTATCTTATCTCACTGGTCACCATAGCAACACCCACCCATAGTCTGCGCTCCAGCAGGTATATCTCACTGGTCATCCCCAAAGCCAACACCTCCTTTGGCCGCAATTCCTTCCAGTTCTCTGCTGCCAATGACTGGAACAAATTGCAAAAATCTCTGAAGCTGGAGACACTTATCTCCCTCACTAACTTTAAGCATCAGTTGTCAGAGCACCTTACCGATCACTGCACCTGTACACAGCCCATCTGAAATTAGCCCGCGCAACTACCTCATCCCTATATTGTTATTTATTTTGCTCATTTGTACCCCAGTATCTCTATTTGCACATCATCTCTTGCACATCTATCATTCCAGTGTTAATACTAATTGTAATTATTTTGCACTATAGCCTATTTATTGCCTTACCTCCATAACTTGCTACATTTGCACACACTGTATATATATGTATTTCTGTTATATTTTTGACTTTGTTTTGTTTTACCCCATATGTAACTGTGTGTTGTTGTTTTTATCGCACTGCTTTGCTTTATCATGGCCAGGTCGCAGTTGTAAATGAGAACTTGTTCTCAACTGGTTTACCTGGTTAAATAAAGGTTAAATAAAAATAAAATATAAAAAAATAATAATAATAATAAACAGACAAGTATCTGTAAGGTCCCTCAGTCGGACAGGGAATTTCAAACACAGATTCAACCACAAAGACCAGGGAGGTTTTACAATGCCTCACACAGAAGGGCACCTATTGGTAGATGGGAAGAAAAAATCCCTTTGACCATGGTGAAGTGTTATTAATTACACTTTAGATGGTGTATCAATACACCCAGGCACTACAAAGGTACAGGCGTCCTTCCTTGCTGGAGAGGAAGGAAACCGCTCAGGGATTTCACCATGAGGCGCAGTGGTCTAAGGCACTGCATCGCAGTGCTAACTGTGCCACTAGAGATCCTGGTTCGAATCCAGGCTCTGTCGCAACCGGCCGCAACCGGGAGACTCATGGGCGGCGCACAATTGGCCCAGCGTCGTCCAGGGTAGGGGAGGGAATGGCCGGCAGGGATGTAGCTCAGTTGATAGAGCATGGCGTTTGCAACGCCAGGGTTGTGGGTTCGATTCCCATGGGGGGCCAGTATAAAAAATAAAAATAAAAAATTGTATTCACTAACTGTAAGTCGCTCTGGATAAGAGCGTCTGCTAAATGACAAAAAAAAAAAAAAAAAAAAAAAGGCCAAGGGTGACTTTAAAGTAGTTACAGAGTTGAATGGCTGTGATAGGAGAACTGAGGATGGATCAACAATGTTGTTATTACTACACAATACTAACCTAATTGACAGAGTGAAAAGAAGAACGCCTGTACAGAATACAAATATTCCAAAGCATGCATAATGTTTGCAACAAGGCACTGAAGTTATACTGCAAAAAATGTGTCAAAGCAATTAACTTTTGCCTGAATACAAAGTGTTATGTTTGGGGCAAATACATCACAGGACCACGCTGTATTTTCAAGCATAGTGGTGGCTGTATCATGTTATGGGTATGCTTTTAATCGTGAAGGACTAGAGCTAAGCACAGGCAAAATCCTAGAGGAAAACCTTGTTCAGTCTGCTTTCCACCAGACACTGGGAGATGAATTCACCTTTCAGCAGGACAATAACCTTACCCAGAAAGACTCGCTGCCTAATATGCTTCTACAAAGTATTGACTTAAGCGTGTGAATACTTATGTAAGTGTGATATTTCTGTATTTCATTTTCAATAAATTTGCGAAAATTTCTAAAAACATGTTTTCCCTTTGTCATTATGGGGCTATGTAGGTAGATTGGTGAGAAAAAACATACATTTAATACATTTTGAATTCAGGCTGTAACACAACAAAATGTGGAACAAGTCAAGGGGTATGAATACTTTCTGAAGGCGCTATATCACCATGATTCATCAATAAACATACATTCTCCATGACACCTTTCCCACCCTCCCCTTCACTATTGTAGAAGCTGCAGCAGGAGCTGGAGTTTCTGGAGGTGCAGGAGGAGTACATCAAAGATGAACAGAAGAACCTGAAGAAGGAGTTCCTCCACGCCCAGGAGGAGGTGAAGAGGATACAGAGTATCCCCCTGGTCATCGGCCAGTTCCTGGAGGCTGTGGACCAAAACACAGCCATCGTGGGCTCCACCACAGGTAGTTTTTACATTCTTGTCTGTCCTCACATAGTGTAGGTAAGCCTCTGGTAGTTGGCTCCAGAGACTGGAGACTTCCTTTAGAGTGGTAGCTTCTGACTGTACACTATAGTTTCTAGAGAACAACCGATAATCGGCTGTTGATATATCAGGCCGATATCGGCCCTTCTCTATCGACATTGCCGATAGTCCCGCTACATAGCAAAACTGCTGCTATGCCAGCTGCCACTCACCACCTGAGCCACGAGCACTGCACAATGCCGATGAATATCAAGCTGGGTAAATCATCAGCAGCGGAAAGCTAGCTCATCCTCCAACAGAAAGGTGCAGTATTGAGAAACAGATGAATTAACACAGTGACCAAAATCGCAGATGAGCTTCCCTAAGACGGTTTGTGACAGTTTGTGCAGAAATTCTTCAGTTGTGTAAACCTACAGTTTCATCAGCTGTCCGGGTGGCTGGTCTCAGACGATGCCGCAGGTGAAGAAGCCGGATGTGGAGGTCCTGGGCTGGCGTCGTTACACGTGGTCTGCGGTTGTGAGGCCGGTTAGACGTACTGGCAAATTCTCTAAAACGGCGTTCAAGGCTGCTTATGGTGAAATGAACATTCAATTCTCTGGCAACAGCTCTGGTGGACATTCCTGCAGTCAGCAAGCCAATTGCACGGTCCCTCAACTTGAGACATCTGTGGCATTGTGTTGTGTGATAGAGCAAGACAACTGCACTTTTTAGTGGCCTTTTCTTTTCCCCAGCACAAGGTGCACCTGTGTAATGATCATGCTATTTTAATCTGTTTCTTGATATGCCACACTTGTCAGGTGGATAGATTATCTTGGCAAATGATAAATGCTCACTAACAGGGATATCAACACATTTGAGAGAAATAAGCTTTTTGTGTATGGAACATTTCTGGGATATTTTATTTCAACCCATGAAACATGGGACCAACACTTTACATGTTGCGTTTTATATTTTTGTTCAGTGTAGTTATCATAGTAGCAGTAAACAGCAGCAAGTGATATGAGCGTTGGGGAGATGTGAAAGGGAGCGGAGTTACAGCCTTGCTCTATCCAATTGTAGCAGTAGGATCAAGTTACAACCCGCCCATTTCTTGATAGATAGCTGAGCTAGCCAATTGAGTATAAAAAAAATACTAGTTGACAAAAGACATACTAGTTTCATAAGCATCCGTGATCACAAATCATAACGTTACGTTGGAACCATTTGCATTGAATAGATGTTATTTTATATTCTCAAACTAACAGCAGTGCCTATATGATGTCCTTCCATACAGGCGTGACATGCTGGAGTGATGCTTCTATGCAAATGTTGTTGATCAGTAGGCTAATATACTGTAAGTCCCAAATGAAGGGCAAACAGATTGTCATCTGTAGCACCATAGACTCCACTGATCAGCCAAAACAAACTCAATGCATGCACACACTCCTATTGAATATGGATTCACCTGTATTGTGAGTGTGAGTATGTCTATGACATCTTAATTTACCCAGTCAAGAGATTTTCCCATTCAAATAAAATTATAATTATATTGTTATTTAGTTAGATTGGTAAAAACGAAGTCAAATGTATTGTTTGATTTTTAAATTGATGCATTAATGCGTACATGTCTGTCTTTGGGAACTATTTTGATATTGTATATCTGCCTAAAATATCATCCATCTTTCTTTCTTTAACCCCTAAAAAAAATCCATATAGGTCATTCTCTAATAGCCACACTCCCATAAGCTCCCATATTTTGCACTGTAACACCAATGCCTCATTCTTACTGTATAGGCAAAACATGTCTCTAATATTCCCTAATGACATTTCCCCCTCTTTCCCTGTGCCACCCTCTTTCTCTGATTCTCTCTCTGTCCACCCTCTTCTCTCTCTGTCCACCCTCTTCTCTCTCTGTCCACCCTCTCCTCTCCCTGGCTCAGGCTCTAACTACTATGTGCGTATCCTAAGCACCATCGACAGAGAGCTGCTGAAGCCCAATGCATCGGTGGCCCTGCACAAGCACAGCAATGCCCTGGTGGATGTGCTCCCCCCAGAGGCTGACAGCAGCATCATGATGCTTACATCAGGTACACATGCACACTATTCTACCCCCTGGTATACATATCCCTTTGTAATACATGTTGCAGTGGAACAAACATGCATTCATGCGTGCTTACATACGTTGCATGCATATTCCACTCATTGATACCTTAGTGCAGCTCCTCTCCTCTGTGTTATAATATAATAATAATATACCATTTAGCAGACGCTTTTATCCAAAGCGACTTACAGTCATGCGTGCATACATGTTTGTGTATGGGTGGTCCCGGGTATCGAATCCACTACCTTGGCGTTACAAGCGCCGTGCTCTACCAGCTGAGCTACAGAGGACCAGAGGATGTTGTTAATAAAATAATAGCATTATTTTCCTGTATCTCTCCTTGCAGACCAAAAGCCAGATGTGATGTATGCTGACATCGGAGGGATGGATATCCAGAAGCAGGAAGTGAGGGAAGCAGTGGAGCTTCCACTCACACACTTTGAACTCTACAAACAGATTGGCATTGACCCACCAAGGGGGGTTCTGATGTACGGGCCTCCTGGCTGTGGGAAGACCATGCTGGCCAAGGCTGTGGCTCACCACACTACAGGTAGGCCATTCACCATGTTCACCATTATCTATAGGATGCACTGGTGCTAACATGATTAGGCTATATTGTCATTTTTTTGCAGCAAATAATTGTAATCATGCTACCATATCAGTATTTGGTTATTTTCTGACTCTCGGTCTCTCTCTCTGTTGCTCTCTCTCTCTCTCAGCGGCGTTCATCCGCGTGGTAGGCTCTGAGTTTGTGCAGAAGTACCTGGGCGAGGGCCCCCGCATGGTGCGTGACGTCTTCCGGCTGGCCAAGGAAAACGCCCCCGCCATCATCTTCATCGACGAGATCGATGCCATCGCTACCAAGCGTTTTGACGCACAGACCGGAGGTATGAGCCATTGTGTACCTTTTTAGAATCAGCTGCACTTCAGAATAGGCTATGTAATGGACTGGTCATTTACTAATCTCTAGTATTGCACATAGTAGCCAAACCCAGTAAGACATGCAAAATAGAGCAGATTTACAGATTGGCATTCCTGATATCAAATGTCTCCACCTGTGATCTTCAGGGTTCACACAAGGTGATTGAGGTGCTTAAAGTACTTGAATTTGCCACTCTGAAGTTCAAGTACTGGAATGCCTTGAAAATCAGAAATGTTCTCAAGTTGGTACTTGAAAAGTACTTGAATTAAAATGAGAGGAGAACAGATAATCAAATATGTTTATGAAAAATATAATAAAAATGTATTGGTCTTGCGAATTCATTTCCAGGCAGACTACAGAGTTTTATTTCCTCACGTGTTTCGCACTGTGGTTGCCAGGGGAGCTCGCTCATTCCACCCATACTGCCACTCAGCCAGGCAGGTACAGAACTGACTGATTAGGCGCAGCCAAACGTCACATCGATAGCTAAAATGGCGGGAAAATGTAGATTCAATTCTGCCTTTTGTACGTATGGAAAATTTCTGGGATCTTTTATTTCAGCTCATGAAACATGGGACAACACTTTACATGTTGCGTTTTATATTTTTGTTTAGTATAGTTTACCCACTCTCTTTTGTACCACTACATCACTGGACCCAACCAACTGACACTGTGTAAGGTGCAAAAAATGCGTCAGACTTTGACATTGCGAGCATGGGTGAATTGGCCCTGAAGAGCCACATGAAGGGGGAAAGACACAACGCTGCATCCTGCACTGGCGCCAGTTCTACATGTGACTTTTTCTCTGCAACAACCTCCAGAGCTTTTTTGCCAATCGCCTCATTCACAGAGTGCCCGCGATATTCCGCTTTATCAAGCAGCAGCCATGCTCCTGCCGTTCTGGTGGCCGTTCAAGTGCCGTTTTCCTCACACAGCCCACCCACCCGAATGGCGACACTAAAGCTGCCAGTCGGAAGCAATACTTTATTGTAGCTATTAAGTAGTAGATTCCCAAATGCCCAATAAAAACAGTCATTAAGCTGGAATTGTGTACATTTTACATTTTAGTCATTTAGCAGACGCTCTTATCCAGAGCGACTTACAGTTAGTGAGTGCATACATTTTCATACTAGCCCCCCGTGGGAAACGAACCAACAACCCTGGCATTGCAAGCGCCATGCTCTACCAATTGGTAGTAATGTGAATAGGAAATGTGTGTTCACCAGTAGGCATCTCCCAAAACACTCCTCATCACTACTCAAATTACAAAATCATCAGTACTGACTTACCACTTATGTAGTGAAACAATGTATTATTGATGAGTGCTAAGTAATTATTACTTTTTTATGAGGTTGTGGCGATATACTGCCATCTGGCGGCAACTAGAAACAATTACATAATATGAACTGGACCTTGAAAATATATTTTAGTGCTTGAAAAAGTACTTGCCACTGTCTGTATGAACCCTGGGTCTTGTCATGCCAACACACATTTGAGCTGTTTACATTGCAATATTTCAATCAAACAATGTTAAAATCAGCCTTAACTAAGCAGGTGAAACATGTTTCCGTAAAGGCCCCCTAGTTGCTGTGAGTGTTAGATAGGATATGATTTATCCTTGGCCCAGATGGAGACACAAGGACACAACAGCTCACTGATCAGTCAGCTTCTCTAAAGCAATGGGAAAATAAATAACCTTCACATTTTGTTTTGACTGCCACCACCATAGAGTTGGTAAGTTTAAGGTCAGGGTAGTTGCAGTTAACATCAAGTTAGAGTTGGGAATCAGAAGTTGCCCACAAAACAGAACTACTTGTAAAGATGTCGGTTAATTTCATTGTTTAAAGCGTCCAGGCGAACAGATTCACAGATATCCACAATAGAGACCAACTTAATTGTGACCGTAGTATCTTGAGTGGGATTGATTATTAGGACTGAAAATAAGACCAAGCAGTTATTAGTGTGGTTGAACCCTGACATTGGTATTCCCTCATTGTATTCTCTCCTTCCCTTCCCAAACAGCTGACAGGGAGGTTCAGAGGATTCTGCTGGAGCTTCTCAACCAAATGGACGGCTTTGACCAGACCGTCAACGTCAAGGTGAGCGAAGTGTGAGAGCGCTGTGGGCTTCGTTATTGTAGGCTGCAGACCCATTAAGGCAGCTAACCTGTAACCTTGTGTGTCACAGTGAGAATACGTTAAAAATGTAGTCACACTTAAGCTAATCCTATAGTGAGTGATTTACTAATATGGGTCTCAAAACTTCCGGTTAAGCCTTTGTCATGTGACTTCCGGCCTCTCTGACCCACCTGTTTGTTCCCTCGTCAGGTGATCATGGCCACCAACAGGGCCGACACCCTGGACCCCGCCCTCCTGCGTCCGGGCCGTCTGGACAGAAAGATTGAGTTCCCCCTGCCTGACCGCCGGCAGAAACGCCTGGTCTTCTCCACCATCACCAGCAAGATGAACCTCTCTGAGGAGGTGGACCTGGAGGACTGTATCCTTATTATACCCTACTCAACAGTGTCTCATGACGTGTGTGTGTTAATTGGGGCAGGTCTGTATTGTATTCACTTTTTATCAATGTGTCTCAAGAAAAAACTAGCAGCATCATGCAATCTTTTCCTGCTCAGAACAAAGCACAGGAGCACTAATCCTATTCTGTGTCCGGTTCATTAAGTGTGCTTTAAGTTTTCATCAAATATTTACCTCCTTGAATACCGCTCTGATCTAGTGCAATAGTCTCATTAAAGGTCAAATGAACCATGACTTTAGTACTCCAACTGAATGCCTTTGTAAAGTCTAATGCACTTCCCCATACCTTTCTTTGGTTGCTAAGTAACCGAAAGAACACTACATTGTTCAGTGTCGTATGAGTTTGTATTTGCAGTTGTCCTTAACCAGTGTGTAGATGTTGCCAGACCAGACAAGATCTCCGGAGCAGACATCAACTCTATCTGCCAGGAGGTGAGTGTGACCCCGGACTGTTCGGAGGAATTCTACCATGGGAGGTCAAACTACTCAAAAGACTCAATGTCAAAGAGTAGCAAGTTATTGCGTTCGCTAACTCTTGTTCCAAAGATAACTAAATATCCTCTGTTACATCACCTGTTGTCGGTGTGAGAACTGGAAACTCTCTCTGATAGATGTGCTTATAATTCTTTCATTCCTCTCACTCAGGCTGGCATGCTGGCTGTCCGTGAAAATAGGTACATCGTCCTGGCCAAGGACTTTGAGAAGGCCTACAAGACTGTTATCAAGAAGGACGAGCAGGAGCATGAGTTCTACAAGTAGAAAGTAACCTCTTCCCCCTCTCCCTGAAAAAAGAAAAGGCATTCAGAGACAAGTTTTGTTTGATTTATGTGTGTTTGTGTCTACTACCGTGTCCATGTGTCATTTGCCAGACTCTGACTAACATTGACCTTGGACTGAATTTTGCTTAATTTACTAAAGGCCCATCGTCATCTCGACTGTGATAACAACCTTGAACACACACACACATAGTGAATGGAGTGTCTTTTGATGTGCTCTGCAGGTTCTTAAGTATGTTTGACTTGACTGTAGCTAGTATAATGGCAGAGAGTTTGTACCTGTAATGTACTCCCTGATAAAACAGTACTCTAAAAAACATTAAAGAAGTTTTCCATAAAAATTTAAGAAAAGTATGCAGTCTGTCTTTATTTTTCACGTGGACTGAAATATATTGGTTTAAAATCTATTGATGTGACAAGACAAACACTAACATGCCCAGGGTCATCTGCAGTGGTAACCATACATTTGATAGATAAACTGACTGTTGGTCATAGATCCTCTACTCTCGCTTGGCATTCCGTTCCTAGTCAGTCTAGACAGGCAGGCACCACTGATGCGGGGTCCTCCATAAGAGGGGACATGGCGGTGTCTCGCCCTCCCTCTTTCCCTCTCTCTCTCTTGGTCTGCCCACGAGTCAAAGCAGTTCAGCCTCAGGTTGAAGTTCAGCCTTACACCACAAGGGGGAGAAAGGCTTTCTGTTATTAAATATATATCTCCCAGGGAGATATATATTGACTGACTATCAAGGGCAAGATTGTGGTTTAGAAAGTAGAAGGCCCCTCTTATGGTATATTTACATTTACATTTTACGTCATTTAGCAGACGCTCTTATCCAGAGCGACTTTTTTTTTTTTTTATACTGCCCCCCCCGTGGGAATCGAACCCACAACCCTGGCGTTGCAAACGCCATGCTCTATCAACTGAGCTACATCCCTGCCGGCCATTCCCTACCCTACCCTGGACGACGCTGGGCCAATTGTGCGCCGCCCATGAATCTCCCGGTCGCGGCCGGCTGCAACAGAGCCTGGATTCGAACCAGGATCTAGTGGCACAGTTAGCACTGCGATGCAGTGCCTTAAACCACTGCGCCACTCATATCTATTGGAATGGTACCCACTTGTGTCCCAATGGGAAACTGTTGGGCAGGTGGTCAGTGATGGGGTCAAAGTAGTTGGTGTAGAGGGGCATGGTTGCAGACTCCAGGTCCTGTGACATATTGGCAAAGATTGGTCCCAGGTCATGGTTTGGTAGCATCCTTTGACCAGGGCAGAGACTGCGCCACATTGCTGACGCTACAGCATCCAGGGTGGACTGGGTCTTCCAGGGGTGGAACGGAGGAAGGTGAGGTGGAAGCTGGGACATTCTGAAGAAAGCTTTGGACAACCAAATTAAAATGCCTGTGTGATCACTAATAGGCCATAACTATTTGTGTCCATAACTGTACAGTTTCAGAGGATCAATCATCACCTTAAAGTGGCATGTAGTTATTTGTCAGATTATATAAATATATTTAGTTTAGATATGTTTGTGATCACGAAAAAGCAATTCATTTTGGTAACTGCTTCACTGCCTTTGTTTAACTCCTGCCAGTGGACCAGTAACTTTCCCTACATTGAACAACTACCCAATCCCATAATGTTGAATACTTAAGTATTGAGTGGAAAAATAATTCCTTACCTTTTAAATAAGATGTTTTGTGGTGAAATATGGCAAAAAGTCAGTACTTTGTCTTTGACCGCAATTTGTTTACACTTGATTTTCCAACTGAGAGATGAGTGATGCACCATTCTAGAATCTAGAACACATCTACTACAATATAATACTTTATTTTCTCCCAGCTTGGGTGTGCCATTTGGTATAAAATCTATATTTTATTAGAAAGTACAATTACTACATAAAAGCACAACTCTGAACGTGTACGAAAGATACAGTAGTAGGTCTAAGATAAACAAATGTAATTTGTATTACACCATTTCTGTAATTTCACTTTACCATGTCTCCTCGAGTCAAGCATGTCGTGTTTTCCTCGTTCTATGTTAAGTAAGCCATAACACAAAAGGGTCGTTATGTCACTGTGTACTCAGCGTCACCCCATTCAATTGTATTGCCAGTGCATTCATTGAATTATTGTGAAACCAAACCAGCAAGTAGTGGTGAAAATCAGGACACGCATACAACATGAAGAGGTTGGAGGAGGTGCGCTAAACAAAACCTTAGACCGTACCATTCCTTACTACATGCAACACCAAACAGCTGTGTACATCACTTCCTGTACTAGTTCTACATGTGAAGTGTGGCTGAAGAAGCTGCATTTCAACTTCGAAATGCAGTCCCAGAGCAACTGGAATTGTCAAAGTGATGTTTAGCAATACCGTTGCCTGGAATAAATGAGAAAAGGAACAATTGAGCTATCCACGAACAAGAGGAGTGGAATGGTAAACACCATTCCGTGCGTTTAGTTGGTAAGCTGGCCACAGTTTATTTATTTTTTATCTAGCTAATCATGCTAACTAGATAGCCAGCTAACGAGACGTTAACAAATCATGCCCGTGTATGAAAGAAGTTAGCTAGTCGTTAGCTAGCTAGCAAAGCAGAATGAAATGGAGTTAGTAACGTTAGTTTGCCGTCTTTTACAGCTTATTTATCCGTCACATTTGCTAGCTAGCCAGTAGCTAACGTTGGCTATCTAAAATGTTAAGTATTTATTGTGGCCGCTTCAACAATAACGTTAGTTGTTGAGGCAAGGCTCGAGCCCAGGTAAATTAGCTACGCCAGAAATGGTGGAATCTTTGGTTACATCATCATGACTCGGACAAAATCTAAAGTAAGTCATGAATTGTCTAATAATGTAAAAACACAAAACGGATCAGTATACTGAACACCATAGTGGCAGTGGATGCATGTCTCTCTCTGTCACTGTGTGTGTCTGTCTGTCTGTCTGTAGGCTACATGATATTGTCGCATCTGTTCATGTCTGTGTGAACAAGCAAGGAATTAATCTTATTCCAAAGGAATAGCTGGGTGATTTAGCAAATACGTCATTTTTGTGTCTCAGGGTTAGATTTATAAGATAAAATGTTTTTTTCCCCCTTTAAGTAAAGACTAAAATAACCTTAAACTAATTTTTTTTCAGTTTTCAATGTTTTAAAAAAATCTTCTAAAGCATTTCATGTCTGGATTTCACTGTTTTGCACTGTTTTAGTCCTGTCTCACATCCAGACTTTTGACATTCTGCTATGTATTGCACTTACAAAAGTCTTTATAATTAGAAAATATTTAAAGCACCTGTTTAAAAAAAGAGTAAAAAAAATGGAAAATATATACATATTAGATGTGCATAAGCCATTGAACTTGTCTTTTTTTTTTTTTTACAAACAGTACGGTCGTCTCTAAGTATTGTCATTGCCACCATGACAAGCAAATTAAATAACTTTTTTTCAAAAGTGTGTGTACTTGGTTGTACAGCACCAGTCAAAAGTTTGGACACACCTACTCATTCCAGGGTTTTTCTTTATTTTTACTATTTTCTACATTGTAGAATAATAGTGAAGACATCAAAACTATGAAATAACAAATATGGAATCCTGTAGTAACCAAAAAAGTGTTAAACAAATCAAAACATATTTGGAATTCTTCAAATAGCCACCCTTTGCCTTGATGACAGCTTTGCACACTCTTGGCTCCTTACACATCAGTGTTGTGATGCAAAAATTCTAGCAAAATGTATAGCGCATAGAATAAAAAAGGTATTGTCGGACATTATTCATTCTAATCAGACAGGTTTTTTACATGGACGAAACATTGGCGATAATATAAGGCAAGTACTGGAAACAATAGAACACTATGAAAAATCTGGGAAACCAGGCCTGCTATTCATAGCTGACTTTGAAAAGGCATTTGATAAAGTTAGACTGGAGTTTATATATAAATGCCTGGAGCATTTCAATTTGGGAGAATCTCTTATAAAATGGGTTAAAATCATGTATAGGAACCCTAGGTGTAAAATAGTCAATGTCTATTTGTCAGACAGTTTTAAACTGTCAAGAGGAGTAAAACAAGGTTGTCCACTCCACTATCGGCATATCTATTTATTATGGCCATCGAAATGTTAGCTATTAAAATCAGATTTAACAATAATATCAAGGGCTTAAAAACAAAGGTGTCATTGTACGCTGATGATTAATGTTTTCTTTTAAATCCACAACTTGAATCCCTCCACAGATTCATAGAGGATCTAGATACATTTTCTAACCTCTCTGAATTACAACCAAATTATGATAAATGTACTATTACATATTGGATCAGTAAAAAATACAACTTTTACATTACCGTGTAGTTTACCAATAAAATGGTCTGATGGTGATGTGTGTGTATATACTCGGTATACATATCCCAAAATAAATAAATGATCTTACTCCAATACATTTTTGTATTGAAAGTTAGCAAAAATAGATAAGATCTTGCTACCATGGAAAGGTAAATACCTGTCTATTTGTGGAAAAATCACCCTGATTAACTCTTTAGTATTATCCCAGTTTACCTATTTGTTTGTGGTCTTGCCTACGCCTAGCGAACAGTTTTTTTAAAAAATGATATGAGGAAAACATATTCCATTTTATATGGAACGGCTAGCCAGACAAAATTAAACGGGACTATTTATATAATGAATATTAATTTGGAGGACATAAATGATTAAATATTAAAGCATTAGACCTATCACTAAAAGCTTCAGTCATACAAAAGTTATACTTAAATCCAAACTGGTTGTCTAGCAAATTAGTAAGATTGTCTCACACCATGTTCAAGAATGGCCTTTTTCGCTTTATTCAGATTACAACCTCTCACTTTTAGTTATTTGAAAAAGAAATCATCTCCCAAATATCACTATTTCTAAAACAAGCCATAGAAAGTTGGTTGCAATTTCAATTTAATCCTCCAGAAACGACAGAACAAATAATGCAACAAATATTGTGGTTAAACTCAAATATACTAATAAAAAAAAAAGGTATAATCTTCGTAAATGATATCATAGGTAGGACTGGTGGAGTTATGTTGCACATGCAGCTAACAAAAACATATGGAAATGTCTGCTCTACCCAAAATTACAACCAAATAATTGCAGCATTACCGCAAAAATTTAAGAGTAAAGTGGCAGGGGGAAAAGTAAGGAACTTGTCTGTCGCCCCTGCATTAAAGACTATAATTGGTTAAAGAAAATTGGGATGAATAAAAAAGTATACCTGTTTCATTTAAGTACCACAGGATTGACAGCCGTCACATATATATTGCAAAATAGTTGGGAAGAGATTTTTGACGTACCGATTCCATAGGACATGGTTTATGAACTGATA